TGGTTTGTTTTAAATGAAAATTTCACACTCTCTATATACTCTATCTAGATATATGGCATTCAGTTATGAGCTAACACAATTCGTAATACTATCACTAAAAAATCTTTAGAAAATTATATTAACAAAATTATAAAAATTCGCTAATTATGACCACCGTAAAGATATCTGTTAATCTACCATTGGAATCAACCAAACACCCACCCAAAGAAATACACAATATCGTGCTACGCGTTCTGTTAAATCTGTTCTGTTAAATGTTATATGCTGCTTCAAATTTGGCAGGGCACGAGCTCAATACTTAGGTCCTGTAGTCTCAAAAAATAATTTATGAATAATTAAATATATCTTGGCAATACTTAAAACACAGTTGTATGATTAGTTAAAATTTCAATTGATTAATAAATAATAAAAATTTTGTTGTTGTGATTTACTACTATGCAAAATACCTCTCTATTAAGAAACATGGTTTTTTCGTCATAATTGACTTTAAAAATAAAATTTAATAATTAAAAATGTTTTCGATATGCAAAGGAATATATAGCATTTTTGAAAATAAAAGTGAATTTCTTATTTTAGATCGATCCAGGTAAAGTCGTATCATCTCATACCTAAATAAAAAAATTGATCGAACAATAGAACAAATTTCTAAAAATTACATCTTTATGTACTTATTTTGATATAATAATACCTAATCTGGAAAATGAAATATATTAAAAATTTTCTTTTTTAGTTAATTTAAGTCTTTTTGTTGGTATTTTTGTTAATTTCGTTGTTTTTTGATTTTGAAAATAATATCTTAATTAAAATATATTAAAAGTTTTAGCTTATAAGCTATATATACAGTATTCGTATATGTATATTTTTGCAGTATTTTCTGCATCTATAATAGATTGTATTAATTTATCTATTTAATAGATTGTACCTGGCTTTTTTAGTCGACATTGAACCAGTTCACGAAGTTAATTCATTATAAATCATTGCAAAGATAAAAAACTCTTAGTTACTTAATGATTTCTACGTGCTTTATCAAAAGGGAAAATATTATATTAACGGAACAAACCATATAATTATAAACAAATGATTAATTATTTTACAAGTAAAAAAAAGTAAAGCTTGAAATATTTCAAAATTTCAATACAATTGAATTTTTAATTAATTTCTCAAAAATGTTTAACTTATGTTATTTAAATAATTTTTTTATTTTATTTATTTTATTGTTTATATTTAATTCAATTAGTATTACATTCACTGCAATTACACTTTCAATTACTTCCGCACAGTTTCGAATATTTTTTTTTATTTTTTTATTATTTTTTTATTTTTGATGAATTTGTTTATTTTTAAACTGTTTTTCACACAAAGTGACAGGTTTTTAAACAATTGATTGTTTTGTTTTAAAAATGAAACCTTTGTCTTGAATACAAATAAATTTTAAATTATTTATTTATATATTTTAATATAAATATTTATTCCATATATGAAAAATATACTGTGTTCAGAATTTATTACCTGTATTTATTTATTATTATTTTAGATATTTATTATATACATTTCTAACACTACCTTCATTTATTTTATTGTATATTTAATTCTTTTTTATTAATATATTATATATATAAATATATATATAAATATATTATACATAAGTATATATTATATATTTTTTTTATTCATTTTTTAAGTTCTTCTGCCTTAACTTATTTTAGAAATAGTTTGAATATAATAGTTTGAAGTCATTAAATTAATTTAAATAAAACTAATACAAGCAAAAAAGTCCAATAATGCACTTAACATTGAAAAAAATATCTTCGAAATCAAAAACATATAACTGATTAGATAAATGATAAATGATAGATTAGATTAGTCCCATCTAAGATCAATTATTAAATAATTGACGTCTTCTTTCTGATATTAAAGAAGTTCCATTGGTTATCCAGAGGTTCAAAATATTATTTTTATCCAATTAAACTATATAAGTTATATTTAAGTTCAATTATCAAATAATTGATGCCTTCTTTCTGATATTAAAGAAATTTCATTGGTTATTCAGAGGTTCATCATGTTCGAAATCTTATTTTTATCGAATTAAGCTAGATAAGTCCTATCCAAGATCAATTATCAAATAATTGATATTTTTCATCTCATATTAAAAAAATTCCATTGGTTATCCAGAGGTTAATCATTATCGAAATCTTATTTTTATCGAATTACATAAGTCCTATCTAAGATCAAGTATCAAATAATTGATGTCTTACTTCAGATATGAAAAAACTGCCACTAGTATACTAAAAGGTTTATTGGTACAATAACATCGCATATCTTCTAAATTTTTATTATAGAACCATCAACAACTAGATTTTGATCAACTAACGTAATCCAGTAAACAAAAATTAAAGCAAACCTCTTAATCCGTAATGTTCAACTACATTTCCTGTCACAGCTTTTAAAATATTTCAAAACAAAAGATGTACATCATTTATTGTGGTTGGTAAATTATGTTAAAGCGTAAAGATATATCTCACAGCCCAAAAATAAGTGCCATCACTTAAACAATAATTTAACAATTCCAATGAATTAACTGTTGATATTCTTCCACACGGTAACACATACTAGATTCTCACAGCAGACTACGACACAATACCATTGATGTACTTATATAAATATAGGTAGCTCATCGGCCACACTTCCACTTGGAGATATCGATTGTCTATTGAAATTATAAAACGGAATAAGAATTTAAGATTCTGCACACACCACGTTTTGGATTTTAGTATAACTACACTAAAGCTATACTATACTATACTTCCCTGCGTGGTTGGTTTTAATATTTCTACCATATCCACTTCGTATCCTCTTTTCTCACCGATCTGACTGAGCTGTCATCCTGTAATGTTAGGGACCTCGATAAATTTATACAACTGTCAGGTTGGTTTTCCTATACCTAATGGGGGAGTGGTTACCTTCTTCAGCGTTGGCTGTATTCTGATTTAAAACTATATACATACCAATCACATTTCTGTGGTACCACAATGGTACCAACCTACCTATCTACCATACCCACCAAACGATTCAAGACCAGCTAAATAAATACGTTCTTATAAACACAATACCTGATAAGTGGAACAAGTGGCAGTCCATTTGGATGTTAGTAGTCCTGGTAAAGTTACTTTACTTTAAATAACGAAATTATTTTGTCTCTTTAATAAAAGGGGCAGACTTAGGATTGATATCGGGGAGGTATTTAAAAATTAGAGAAGTTAAAGGGAATATGTGTCTTCTTGCATATGCTTTGCGTTCACAAAACATGGAATTCTTCTTTTGGCCCACTGTCAAGACAGTAGTCGTCTAAAAACGCAACATATCGATTGCCCTGCCTACACATGAGACAGTGTGCGGCAATTGTGTGGTACTGTGAGTGAGATCAATTATTTATTTATAATCAAATGTTTTTTTTAAATAAAGCTATTGTGTAGAATACAAACTATTGTATATTGTCTTCACAGAAACAGTCTTCTCTATATCCAAATAATTTCAATAAAATTATAATCATTTTAATTTTAGCAAAATAAACAATAAAGCCATTGCATAAAAAATTTGAAAGCTTGTAAAATTAATTAAAAATCTTAGAATTTTTTTCAAATAATTGAAGTGAATGAAAATTGGTAGCTGTGACGAATTTTCTGAATCTGAATATTCAGCTGGTGATACAATCAATGTACAGTGAAGGTCTTAATAAAAGTATAAAAATCCATTGACTTTAATTATTACAACGTTTATGTTTGATAGTTATATCGGATTGTGTTACAATGAACTCTACCGAAACCTTGAATGCAGCTTCTTTATCTTGAGATAAAGTAAGATGTTAAGTAGTATAAATAACCCCGCAATTCTTTTGAAAATTTTTAAGGTTTTATCTCATGAAACATGTTGAAGATAATTTAAAATGATAATTAACAATTGTCATAAATACAAGTAATAGAAAATAAAAGTAAAAATCATTAGAAATACATAAGCAATGATATTTTTTATTGCTTCAACCAATCGCTTAGGTTGAAATCTTTATATTATCAAAAAAACCTTAGAAAAAGAATGTTTATTTATATATAGTATATAGTATAAGTAGAACACTTGACGATTGCCTCCTTAGGGGCATAGTTATAAGTACGTCGCTGGTTTGAACTTTGTTCATGAACTTCACTCTGAAGTATCTTGATACTAAAGTACTAATAATGAGTACTTAACTTCGGACGTGAGTGACTCTTTGTATGGCCATTGTGATGAATGTTGTTTTACGATTTTAAAGCAAAGTACGTATTGAAATTGTAAAAATATTTAGAGGCAGTGGTAAAATTTAGAAATTATATTAGTAGTGTAATTAGTTGTACTAGTATCAGCAATAGATTGTAAACATTTCATAAGGGAAGTGTCTTAGTACTTAAAGCTAATTGACATCAAACAATAATTTTATTATCTCAAAATATTTATACGATATATTAAGCTATATCATACTTTTGAGAAATCACTTTAATGGGTAGTTAATATTCACTATTCATACACTGGGTTTTATTTTCTAATTAAGTAGCACTCCCACACTATCTGTCTGTATTTGAAAACCGTTAATTTTCAAATCGCTTTTATTTTACATACAATGAGTATGATTTTCCTGAAACTAGAAGAACACTTGAAAATTATGCCTGCCTATTTATTTTAACAATTATTAGCACTAATCACAGTAGAGTTTGTCTTGTCTTATAGCTTTACTATAATTTTATTACTTATTTATAAATAAGTAATAAAATATAAATTAAATTTAATAATTTTTCATATTGACAATAGCACATTTTATTGAGGCGCCGAAGCATGAAGCTGTGAATTTATCTCTGCCTTTCATTGTTTTTAGCTAATAATTGTTTAAATATGTATTACTTAATTAACCTATAAAATTAAGCTATTATGCATATACTTGCAATTATAATATATATGAAAATATTAAATTTTTATTACCCATAAACGGCTTTAACATAGTCCGAGTCGCTGTTACTTTGCGCATGTATATTTCTGCCCATAGCAGTTTCTGAAAAATAATTAATACATAAATACAAATAAAATAAAATTTAATTATAAATGTAAATAAATAAATAGCAACAACCAGCGGAAGCTACTGAGTTAAGTTAATATATTCTATTGATATTTAATAAATCAATAATATTATAATAATATTAAGTCCACGTGAATTACTTTACATTGTACTTCGACTTTTGAACCTAATGAAAGTGTAAATATTTGCAAAATAAATAAAATTAAATTTTATCATTTAAATTTATTTATTTTTAGTACATGAAACTTAAGTAGGTAAAAGCAAATACTTAGAAATAAATATATTGAATGTTATTTATATCCAAATAAAAATAGAACGAAATACCTATACATACTAGACTTCGGAAACTTCGTTATACTTCCATATATACCAAGTTACTAATAGCTCAATTAAGAGATTGAAAAAAATAGACCTTACAGAAGGCAGCTGAAGTAAGCAGATGCATCACATCAAGATGAAGGACAAGATGGAAGTCTTAAATGACTACCCTACATTTAAGTAATAATAAGGTAGCCTCCGGGCAGGACAAAGGCTCTAGGAATGAGGGGAAGTGGTTTAGTTCATGCGAGTCGGGCACTCACTTTCCAGAACGTCGGATTGTGTTCAGTGCGTAGGCATTCCACTACTCCTCCTCCGCAAACAAATCAAAAAAATAAAAATATCTCAATTAACCAAATCATGAGAGAAGCAGGCAACAGAATAAGATCTAGAGAAATCGTTGAGGTCCTATGCTCCACTAGGAGAGAATGACACCAGTAAGTAGTTAAGTAACATCTCAATTACATAAATACAGTGCAACAATACAGAAACAATGAACATATATTTATTATTATTCTTTTGTCACGATAATATTATGTAGTTAGTATGTTAGTACAATGCGAGTGCTTATATATCTCGTCTAACAACCGATTATTTGAGCATTTAAAAAATCGAATTCTTCTGTGATCCATCATACACTTCTGAATTGGCATCCAATAATTTTTTCTTATTCCCGAATGTCAAGAACACTCGTAAATTGCATGGACAATGATTTTTGACGGCGAAAGAAACCGTTGTTACATTTAAAAAGGTGTCTGAAGCAGATTGGAAAAAATACTTTGACAATAGGTTCGAAGGCATGCAAAAGTGTATTAATCATAAAGGAGAATACTTTGAGAAACAATAAAACAAATCAGAATTTTTTCATTATTACCCTCAAAGTGTAAATAGAGACCCTCGTATTTAAAACTCTATAAACACTTGGATGTATTCACTGCATTCGAAATCCATTTATTTGATTCCTATTCAAAAATATAAACAACAGCGACAACTACCTCTGTGTATCATTATTTCAGACACTTTCATATTCAAGCATTCACTCATTCAAAATCCATTCATTCGCTTTCTATTCACATATCAAATACTAAATTTATTTATATATATTTGTATAACTTAGACAACAAATAGATACATATAGCAAATATTTTATAAATATAAAAATATTAAACTTACCACAAACAATATCTAATGTACATAAAGTTACATATGGAAATACGTTGAAGGCTTTCGAGTTAAGTTCTTTTTCCAATTTACGGCTTAATATTGCGCTTTGTTCATTGAAAACATCAATGAAATCATCCAAAATTTTGAAGTGAAAGGCTGGAGTTAAAATCTGTAATATAAAAAATCGTATAAAATAGTTACCAGGAATTGTGTAATTTTAATTTCAATTTATTATTTTTTTTTTGTGAGCACTTTTTCAACCAAGACAATACACAAATATATATGTAATCGCCTATGCCGTATGTAATCGTACGACCGTTTTAACTTATGAGAGGCGATAGTTCAAATAGTTCCGATTTGGCTTTACCCAAGAATTTCTGTAATTGTCTGAAAATTAACTTTTTAGTATCTTAAAATAGTGTTATGCATCATAAGACCTTAACGATCGCATCATTTAATTAAACCGAGGTTGAGTCACTATAGAAAGGAAGGCTTTAATATATATATATTTTCTATTAGAGGTACAACGTAACAGACGTGTTTTTTCAATTGCAATTTTTATTTTGAATCTCAAATAATAGAAATTTATAGCTTCGTTCAAAGAAGTTCTGTCGCATGTCCTTATACTTAGGTGAACAGCTTTATAACATTCACTTCTTCCAGCAAGCCTAAAATAAAACATGGCATATCTGTCCTATCATTATCATGAACATTTTGTTTAAGGGGCCATATTACATTCTTCACAATCTTCAAACATTGTTAAGAAATTATTGATTTGTAAAAAAGAGATGTACCACTGACACTATAGCAATGCTTTATTCATTTCTACAGGGTGGCGCTGCAATCACTGGATATTATCACTCAAAGAGTGTAATACAAACCTATAATTTTTATAAATGGAGTACATTTATTTATATTTAAGGCACAGAAATGTCTGAGGCAAATTCAGCAAACCAATTCATTTTCAATTTGGAATAAAAAGGTTACTCAAGAAATCCTTTGCAGGAGTGTTTTAGGAGCTTAAAGTTATATCGATCACATAATAATATAGATTTTGCCTCTTTTTAACGCCTCTTTTTAAGGCATTTATTAAAAACTTACGTATTTCATAATTAAAATAGAAGTTATAATTTTTTTAATACTTAATTAATCAAAACAAAGTCCAGTCTGTTTAAATTGTTGATCCAGTCTGTTGATTGCTCATGCATTATAAATTTATGTCTAATATAAACCAAACACAAAAATGTTACCTAAATTGTATTTTTTGGATATGGAATATTTTTTGTTAAAATATAACAAAATGCCTTAAAGGTAATTTTCTCACTACACCTACTGGTATTGGATTTTCTTACTGAAATGCACTTTATTAATTAATATGCAAGGCACCTAATGGCTAAAGTAAAATCCTGCCTAGCCTAAGTGGTGGAGACTTGTCGCGACATATTTTTATGATTATAGGTCTCAGTTGATAAAGATCAAAATCTTTCAAACTCTGACAAAATTAAGTGCAATTAATTCTGACGAACATAAACAAGATACAATAATTACTTTATTTTACATTTAATACATTATTAAGTATCCTTATGCAATATTAGACTAGACTTTTTTATCAAAAGTGGAATATTTTAGAGCTAAGGTAACTTACTAAAAGTAGCTGATATGGAATTTATAAACATTGTTACAAGTTAATATTTAGGTTAATTGAATTAGCATTTGTAGTGAATATACATATTCAAAAGACATTTAGAAAACAAGATCGTATTTTGTTTTATTTTACCAAAAACTTGAAAATTGATATTTCTTTAATGGGCGTTGCCAGTGTATAGTGTATGGGAAAAGGAGGGACAAGAGAATATTATACTTTTATTTTTAAAAAGAAAAATAGCACAAATAGCTCTATAATTCTATCCCTGGTGAAAATTTCCTATGTTTAGTTGGAGATATTAATCTAGATGTGTCTAGATTTGAATCTAGATGCCAAAGTTAATTTGATTCAATGAACAGCAAATAAAAGTACTCGGTTCGATTTTTGGTAATTATAAAGCACTCGCAGATAAGATGGTCGGAAGTTTTACTCTGCTTCTACCAAAATTGGTAAGTGTCGGTGTCCAGAGAATTATCACTATTCCTTATATATATAAAAAGGAGGAACAAATTCCCCACAACAAGCAGAACAGCAAAAAACCTCATTCCACTGATATTATCAATAAAATACTATTCTATGTATTAACTTTTCTATAAAATTCCGCTTTTACAATTGCTTAACTGCGTCAAGGTTACGCGTCTTTTTCCATGAATCTTCTTTTCGTTATGATACTTTACTTCGTTCACACGATCAGGTTTGGATCAGTGGCTTATAGGCACCCACATTTTCCCCTTTGGGTGAGCCCATGATTTTTGCTTGTCTTGAATTCTGAGATTTTTTTATTTTTCTATTTTCTAATTTTTGAGTCCATTTAGAGTTAAACAATCGAAAAATTTTTTGAGTATATATTTACTTTATGAAAATAATAATTTTTTTATGTTATTAAAAAAAATTTGTGTTTTCTTATTATTAAAAATAATTAATAATATTTTAGTACAAAAAAAACAATTATTTTTAATACTATAATTTGATAAAAAAATATTATTTTAAATTAATGTATAAAAAAAATACCTTTCTTCTGGAGTGCCATTTTCTGCCGAAACTTGTAAGCAATCCTGTACCTAACCAAGGACGCAAATAGTCGTAATCATGACTTTTATCAATAAACTTTTGACTGTTTAGTATTGGCTAAAATAAAGAAAATAAATAAAAAATTTATTATTTTTTAATAATTTTTTATGTTTATTATTACTTACTTCAACAGTCTCTGGATCAAATAACATCACATAAGGAGTAGGACCTTGCCATGCTTTGTTCATGCCAATACGATTTCCCCATAACTTTTGAGATCCAGTAATACGCATAAAGAGTTCTAAAATAAATTAATATAGAAATATTTTGTTAATGTAAAGTAATATGAATTTTATATAAATCATAAATATAAATAATATATACGCAATTTTGTTATGACAGTAAAATTATTAATTATTCGATATCGGGCAATTATAGTAATAATGACACTTGGGTTAAGTGTCCTTAAAGTGTCGAATATGGGGCATTGAAATGTAATTTATAATACAAATAAATGTCACTTTAGTGTCAATTTAATACTTAAGTTACATTTTAAAATCTACACATATGATACTAACATTATATTGTAACCATATACTAATTTATTAATTTAATTTAACTTATAATTATTTAAAAAAAAATCCTCTTTATTTATTTAAAAGCTTTAAACAGACTATAAATAATTACAATATTTTTTTAATGTTTTATATCAAGAAATTCTCTTGAAAAATTATTTGTGTATTAGTTAAGAAAATATTTTAAATTCCCCCAAATAATTTATAATAATTTTTTATATTTTTGTTTTTATATATATTTACAATTTTTTTTTTTTTTTGACTAGATTGAAGGTTATAATTACTTGAGCATTTCTTGGCTTGACATAATTTATTTTGCCATTGTTACATCTGCTTTCAAAGTAAAGATACTTCAATTAAGTTACATGTGTTTTGCCTACTGAAGAAATACTCCATAAATAATAAAATTAATTATCATTATTTATTTATTTTTTTTTTTTTTGGGAAATACAAATTCAATTCGATGTACTTGTGTTTTCATATTGTGAGGCGGTTTGCACATGTGCCAAAACCCACGTTTGTCAACGAAGAGGTACATCTCAAGTAGTCAGTCAGCCTATAACGCCAGCAGCAAAACGTCAATTACAAAAATTATCGGCAGTAATTTATAAACATCAATAGTGTTCATAATTACCAGATGTGAAAGATTTGATCTGTCTTATTGACTATTGGGAAATTAATATAAATTTATTTGACAATTTTAACTCATCTTAAAATAATTAATATAAACTATATTTTAACTATATTTCAACTAATTACGGATAAAGATAAGTAAATTTATTTAGCTATTCTTAAAAACAATTAATTAAGTATTTAGGAAACACATTATTTAAGTATTTAAGTATTTAATAATTAATCTTTTCATTAATTGGCATCTGAAAAGGCTTATAACTATAATTTTATATATTTTTTTTATAATGAACTGCAGATAATAAAAAATTTTATTATAATATTGAATAATTAATTTTTATTTATTTTTAATAATTAATTAATTATTAATTTATAATAATTGCACAAATAATACAAATAATTATACTTAAATGATTAAGTTTAATTAAATATGGTTAGGTTATACCGGCAATCCAAAGGGATCCACTTATGCCTATAGGCCCATTAATTAATTAATTGTGGTTAAATATATGATTAATAATACAAAAATTAAATTTTTTTTATTTGTGGTTAAGTATGATTTTTATTCAACAATTTTTTTTTTTTGACCCAATATGAAATCGACAAACTACCCAGAAACCCAGTGCAACCAGAAACTGCGCAGATTAAATCAAATAAAAACACAAACAGACTGGACTAGTCTTAGGGTTACACATTTGTAATATTTTTATTGTATATACATTACACATTTCCTTCTTACATCTATTTCTATATATACTATATATTGGCGTATAAACCTAAATTATTCTTCTGATACAATAGCGTGTTAATCTATTCGTTTTATTGGGTGGTTTTTAATAGAGTTATGCCTAATACTTTAAAGTGCTTAAACATTATGATGTTTGAAAAGTTAGGTAAATTGAACATTTGGATCGAATATCTGAGGGATGGTCTTTAAGTTCGAGATTGTTGAAAATAGTTTCCTCTTAATAGAGGCCGCAAACAATGTCTTCTAAACAATCAGCTTATTCAAGGAATATACTGCTTTTAATTTCGGTATTCTCGAAAATATTTTGCTCTCAGCAGACACCTCAAACTTCGTTTCTTAGGCAATTACCTTTTAAAAGGAATACATATTTTGGACCTATTCAAGTTAAATAGAATTTTAGAGAAGTTTATATATAACCAAACCTACTTCGTCTTATCGAATGTGTTCGCATTTTTCTTAATTTATACTTTTTGATTCATGGAAAGTTGATTCATGGAATTACACGTATTGATTGGTAAGTACTAAGAATTACTAAGAAAGTAACTGACATGTTTTGGTTGGTATGTAAATACCTAGAAAATTAGACATATAGTTTTGCTACATAATAGTTAGTTATAGTTTACCTAACATATATAGTTGATGTAGGTTTAGTATAGTCTGTTCCTGTGAGAGTAAACTTAGCTGCTGTATAGTGGTAGTTCGAAAGGTAGTCATTATATTCTGCTACTCAAAGAAATGTAGTATAAATGAAGTATATGTAATAAATGAAAAAATGTTGTTCTCTCAGATAACCTTGTTTAGAGATGTAACACTGAATACAATGACTTTAGATTTATTATATACCGCTTACAAAGCTTTGATCCCCACTAGCCTATAAGTAAGGAATCTAATATCAGTTTCTGGTAATAAACCTTTCCGAAAGATTGATATATCAGCAGCAACTTTACGTGCTTGGAGCATATTGGCAAAGTCTAATATGTTTTGCTTAAATATATAAAAATAGACAGACATCAAATTATTTGTTGGTATATCAATTCTAACTAACTAGCAAGTCTAACTCAATTTGTACCGCATAAAAACAATATTTTTTTTACAGTAAAACTAAACCAGCCTCTGCAATAATGTTCACACTCGTCATAATATTAATTAAAACGGTAATAAAAATTAAAACCAAATAAAAATACAAAAAAAATAAGTTTAAAAATTTTTATGTAATTTTTTTTACAAACTAACAAAATCACCCATACGGTTTTGTACATATATGTATGTCTACGATTTACATACAGACATTCATATCTGTATATTGTATCTATTATCTGAACTACAATAGGCCAAGAGTTGTGAATTGAATGACGAATCGTGATGATCAGTTGAAATGCTTTGGCCTTTTTATGCTGCCGGTCTAATAGTTTAAAATCTTTTGTTATTATATATTAAATCTGTCGGCATTGTTATTGCTATTGTTGTTGTTGTTATGTTGTTGTAAGTAGTAGTAAAAGTAGTGATAATTGTTGTTGTTATCATGTTTATTAAGGTGACAACAATTTTATTGAATTACGAAAGCAATTTCAAAAATAATTTACGGTCGCGTAATTTCATCTTTTTTTTTTAAAGATACGCATATTTGTCTTGAGATAGAAATATGCAAGAAAATTTTTTTATAAAATTATTTATTAATTTATAAAATAAATAAATTTTTGAAAATATTATTTATGAGTTTGTTATAATAAATAATCATTACGAACGATGAAAATGGATTAAATAGGATAATATCCAACGGAAGATATCATGATCACAGTTTGGACACCCTCCGTGTTAAAACCGGGATTGACGAATAAGGTAAGATTAAGTATTTGGTGTGTTTTAGGAGATATTGTCTATTCGCTCCACCTTGTTGCAAAGAATAATTCAACCGTGTATTACTAACAACTCCACCAAAATGGAAACAATTAAGTAAAAGCGACCAAAATTAACCACATAAAAGAAATGTCAATGCCGGGACGCACACATCTTTGATGATTGGGAACAAATTGATGGAACTTGGTTAAAAAGTACTACTGTATAACCCAGATATTGTACCGTTTGCTCTTAAGGGTTAAGAATTAGCCGACCAAAGACCCGCTGAAAATCACTTGGTCAAGCTTTTCGCCAATGAAGCACCGATGGAATAATGAAGCTAACCGAAAAATAGCATAAGGTTAAAAATAATAATTTCCATTATATAATTGATAAAGATAGATTTTCAATAAAGAAAATTTTTATTCAAAAATGTACTTAAAAACAGCGTATAATTTTCATATTACTTAACATACCAAAAGCTATCAAAAGAATAGCAAACTGTCATAAATAATAATGTCCAATATAACATACAAATGATTAAAATTGATTTTCAATAAAGAAAATTTTTGTCCAAAAAATGAACCAAAAAATGGTAGATAGTTTTCACATCACTCAACATACCAGAAGCTATTAGTAAATTGACAAAAGATCATAAATAATGATGTCCAGTATATAATTGACTAAAATAGATTTTCAATAAAGAAAATTTTTGTCCAAACAATGAACCAAAAAAGGCGAATATTTTCATATTACTAAACATATCAGAAGCTATCAAAAAAATTGCAAAATATCATAAATAGTAATGTACAATATATAATTAATTAAAATACATTTCCAATAAAGAAAATTTTTGTCCAAAAAATGAACCAAAAAATGGCGAATGGGTTTAAAAATATGTAACTCATAAATTTGTAGTTAAAATATAATTATTATCTCTCTTTAATTTATTGTTATTAAATACTATATGCAATATAAAAAGTGTTTGTTGTGGTATTTATTAAAAAATAATTTTTGTCCAAAAACAATACAGTATTTAATTTAATTTCACTGTCATTAAAACATAAATTAAAAATAAAACGCAAGAAAAATAATTGCTTTTAAAAATCAACTTTAATTATGTTTAAATTAAGTACAAATCCGAGTACGAACGTTACTCATGACTTCCTCATGGTCAGGTAACAACTGTAAGTAAAATAGTTTGCTAATACATAATAAAACTCACAGATGTTATGGAAATTATTTTTGTAGATTTCATGATATGAAAATGTGTACATCCGCATCTCGAAATTGGCTTAGTGGCATAGTTTTAGATATTTTATTTTTTTTTTTTTTGGGTAACTGAGTTTTTTGCATGCAAAGTGTTTGGATTAACGGTTAAGATAATAATTTTCCCACGTGAAGGGCGTGTAATTTTAACAAGTCCTCTTACTTTTTATATGTAATTTGATATTTAGATCATAAAAAGATATGTGGTTAATTTGAAATTAATTTTAATTTAAGCCGCTTTCG